CATGACCACCCTATCAGATTCCAAGGATCACACTGGGATCCACAGAGAAGTCCACGTGGCACAGCACAATGCACCTCAATGCACCTGACCACATCTCACCACATCTCACCGCATCTCACCGCACTTCACCCCAATTCCTCCATCAGATTCCAAGGACCGCAGGGGGGGGTTCACGTGGAACAGCTATGCAAGGAGCGTTGTTGACATGCACAAGCCCAAGTGGAGCTGTACGAACACAAGCACTGCATCACATCGCGCTGCACTGCACCGCACTGTACTACATTGCACTCCACGTTATGGCATTGCACTCCTTTACACTCCACTGTACTATACCGCACTGCACCGCAGTGCACACCCACTTATAAGCTAATCACATCTCAGCACCTTAGCACTCCCTCGACCATCGTGACTTATCCCACCTCACCTCATTCTTAATTTCCTTTTCCTCCCCTTTTTTTTCTTCCACGCACCCCCTTTTACGCCCAGGCCCCCTTAAGAGTGATTCCTGGAAGCGTTTTTTCCCACACTACACTCTCGCAAGTGTCACCACCCCTATATTCATTTACCAGAATTTCTTCGACGCTACAGCAGCTGAAGTCGGCGGATTGTTACCCTGGAACTACACTCACAACTTCATGTGTTTGCGCGAGATATTGGGATCAAGTAAGGATGTTACGCGGGTTATTGAAAAGAAAGAGTGGGGCAATATTGTGTGGAAGACAAACTACTGTGCTCCTATGGAACGGGGTGCCTTGTTTAGAGCTGCTTCGATAATGTACGATGAGCTTGATAGCACAGTGCGAAGTGTAGGCACAATGGCTGCCTATGCTCAAATTGGAACATGGCATGGAGCGATTTTCTTGGACACGTGGACACACCCATGGGTCCCAAAAGCATCGTTAGAAAACTCTGTTATTGAGTGGTTTGCCAATGTTTTGGTTGAAAGATTTATACACATGTAAACTGTTAGAATCTAGAAGCAGGAATGAATGCATTGAATGAGAGTTGGGTACAAGTATCTAACCCTAAAGGGGTTGTACCCTATATTGGCTACCCCACTACAGCCTACACAAATATAGCATGCATATAGTTTGACACACCCTCATAGGCAAAGTGGGGGAGAACAAGGGGTCACAAGACCAGTCAAGAAAAGCAAAACAAGCTCAGGGTGGATCACAACGTCACCACACACACTGAGCACAAGCAAAGGGCCACAAGGCCAGTTCACATGCAGAGATATATATGCAACAACAACAGTACAGTGATCACTACCTAGCAAGAGCAAACATGCAGGCATATATATATATATATATATATATATATATATATATATATATACATATAGATCACAGTACAAGCAGAGTCTACAGCAAGTGTGGAAACGTAGGCACAAGGCCCAACAAAGTACAAAAGCGCTGATGGTCACCAGACGGAAGTGCCTTGGTGAATATATCAGCAGTGTTGGCCTGAGTGGCCACGTGAGCAAGACGAAGCTGACCACGCTGCTGCAACTCTCGAGCCAGGAAGTAACGCAGAGCGATGTGCTTCGTTCTGTGCTCCATTCTGTGCTCCTGACACAAGGCAATGGCGGCCTTGTTGTCGACGTACAGAACTGGAGGAGAACGAGGCCTCTCTCCCAAGTCAGTCAGCAGGTAGGTAAGCCAGCGTAACTCCTGTGCAGCCATGGTTGTGGCGTAGATCACAACTGGAGCCGAGAACAGAAGAGGAGCGAGTAGACCGCCAAGAAACAGAGCCAGAGCCAAGGCTGAAGGTGTAACCCTGTGACGACCGCTGCGTAGCCAGGTCGTCAACCCAAGAAGCGTCTGAGTGCCCAGTGAGGACAACTGGACTCCGCCCTCCAAGCACGAGCCCCATGCCCGATGTACTGCACAAGTAGCGCAGTACCCTCTTTGCAGCATCCATGTGCACCTTTCGGTGCCGACCAGGAGCCACGTAGCGAGCCAGAAGGCTAAGAGGGTACGCAAGGTCAGGACGAGTGCAGGTCATCAGGTACATGAGGCAGCCCACTAGCTCTGGGTAAGGACCACTCGGCTCTACGGACTCGTCCGAAGGTGGAGCTGAGAGCGAGTGACTTGTAGCCAGAGGAGTGGACTGTGGCGAGGACCAGGTGAAGCCGAAGCGCTGAAGGACCTGCTGCACCATGTGTGACTGAGTCAGTGTGATGGTGCGGCGTGCTCGGTCCCGGGTGATCTGCAAGCCAAGGTAACTGCGCAGCTCACCCAGGTCTGTGCACGTGTGTCTCTTCTGCAGCTCCGACTTCACCAGGGCGAGAGCCTCAGTGTCAGCAGTGGCAAAGACCAAGTCGTCGACGTAAACGAGGATGTAGAACGGCGGCAGCGAAGTGTCAGTGCGCAGAAACAGCGACGGGTCAGCTGTCGAAGGAGCAAACCCAAGTGCCGCAAGCGTCGTCCTCAGTGTGTCGTGCCACTCACGCGGCGCCTGGCGGAGACCGTAGACTGGCCGCCGGAGGCTCCACTGGGTACCAGGAGGGAACGTCCCAGTGAAGCCAGGTGGGCGGCGCAGCCATATCTCCTCGTGCAGGCTACCCTGTAAGAAGGCTGTGCTAAAGTCCAGAGAGTGAAGCTCGTAGTCACGCTGAGCGGCAACATGCAGCAGCACCCGAAGAGTAGTCATCTTCGGGGTGGGGGAGAAGGTCTGGAAGAAGTCAACTCCCTCTCGCTGACTAAAGCCTCGTGCAACGTAACGAGCCTTGAAGACAGGCGGAGAACCCGGCGGCCGCTTCACCCTGAAAATCCACATGCCATCGACGATGTTCGCCCCAGGAGGGGGAACCTCGTCAACGTAAGTGCCTGTGGACTTCCAGGATGCCATCTCTGCGTCCATGGCTGTCTGCCACTGAGAGGAGTAGGGACCTGCGATCGCCTCAGCGTAAGAGCGCGGGGTAGGGATGTCTGGTGCATCCGGGTCTCCCTCAGGGGCAAGCAGCATGGCCACGAGATGAGGCGCAGCGGCCGCAAGACACTCAAGGTCCTCCTGTCTGTCCTCAAGGACGTCCGTGCCAAGAGCACACTCACCCCCGACGGACGGAGGACAGACAGACGCAGACTCAGCAACAAGACTAGCAGCGTAGTCTAGACGACAGGCAGCAGCAAAGTCCACAAGCTCAGCGACCAAGGCAGACGCAGCAGCAGACTCAAACGACGGGTCGGTGACAACAGTGGCTAACAGACGCGTGACAGTAGGGTGCTCAGCACGAAACCGGTCAGACTCAGGGTCCAGAACGTCAGGCAGAGAGGACTCAGGAGGAGACGGCAGAGGAACACGCTGCGGAGCAGAGGACGGATGACGGACAACGAGGTGCGCGCCGAGGACAGCCGGCGAACGCGGAAGAGCGACACGACGACTGGTACGACCAGAACGAATAGGCGAGACAGGACGCGACGCAGGCTCACGACACTCAGCAAGACCCCCTGGCTAATCGGTGTAAGGAGAAGGAGCAGGCAGCGGGGAGTCAGGCTGTAACGGAAGACCAGTAGAAGACGAGGGGCTAAGAACCTGGCGAAGCACAGAGTCAGGCGGTGGCGGAGACGACGGAGACGGCGGAGCGAAGAACAGTCTCGGCTGCGCCGTGCCACCAGTACGAGCAGCTCTAGCGCCTCCAGCTCCAGCACCTCCAGCGCCAGCTCCACCAGCAGCAGCACCCCCAGAACCGGCACCTCCAGTCCCAGGGTCTCCAGTTGCAGCGTCTCCAGCAGTAGCACCCCCAGAACCGGCACCTCCAGCCTCAGTGTCTCCAGCAGCAGCACCCCCAGACACAGCACCTCCAGTCCCAGCAGCTCCAGTACTGCCAGTACGAGCACCTCCGGGACCAGCAACTCCAGCACCTCCAGTAGACAAAGTACCAGCACCACTCCCAGCTCCAGTGGCGTCAGCAGAAGCACCTCCAGCGGCAGAGCCCCGAGCTCCAGCAGCGCGACCCTGACGGTGACCGTACCAGTCGTGCAGCTGCTGTGAGGTGAGAGGCACACGCGGACGAAGGCGGCCACTCCAAGGAGACCGCGCACCAGCAGTCTCAGCACCCCCAGGCTCTGCACCCCCAGACTCAGCACCCCCAGGCTCCTCACGCACAGGCTCAGCACCCCCAGACTCAGCACTCCCAGGCTCCTCACGCTCAGGCTCTGCAACCCCAGGCTCCGCACCCCCAGGGACAGCGCCGGCTCCAGTGCCTCCAACACCAGCGCCTCCCGCAGCAGGGCCCCCAGCTCCAGCGGCTCGACCCTGACGGCTAATGTACCACTCACATAGCTGCTGTGGGGAGAGAGGGAGACGACGACGAGAGGGCAGCGGCGAGGCACCAGCGGAGCGGCTACGGAGACGGTCGCTCCAGGGAGACAGCTCACCAGACGCCTCAGCGCCCCCAGGTGCAGCACCCCCAGACGCAGTACCCCCAGGCTCAGCACCCCCAGGCTCCGTACCCCCAGGCTCAGCACCCCAGAAGCAGCAACCCGAGCAGGACCACCTTCAGCAGGAACTGAGTCACCAGTGTGTCAAGATAGTAAGGACAGTGAGAAGCCATAGCTAGGGTTGACCTAGCTAGGCAAGCAAGAAATGAACAAAGGAGGGGTTGCACTAGTAAGAATGGGGATACAAATAGCAAACCCTAGAAGGGTTGTACTCGCTATAGAGCACCCCACTACAGGCTAGAGCATAATATTCTGACACAGTGACCTCAACCGGCGCAGACAAGGGAGGAGGGTCTACCTGAGACACACCTGAAGGAGCAGGACCAGGAGTGGGGAGGGGGTCTACCTGGGGAGCACCTGGAGCGAGGAAGAGCGGCGGGGGGGGGGGGGGAGAGGGGCAGTGCAGTAGGGGAAGAGACGGAAAGAGGGAACCGACTCATCGAACATGACGTCCTGAGAGGGGAAGACACGGCGCGAGGTGGGGTGGTAAAACTGCCAACCAAGCGCGTCAGGGACAAAGCCAAGGAAGACACAGGGAACAGCGCGGGCGGAGAG